ACATGTTGTCTTTTTTCACCCAGATCCAAACTAGACAACAGAATTTCTTCCCTTGTGAAATAGAATCTTCAAGAAAAACTGAATTCTCTGCTTCCTTTTCTACTTGTAAATATCCATTGACTTTAGTAGGAATACCCTCCACTCCTATTGCATTGCATGAGTCATACCTAAGCCTTCAGGAGGCTCAGTGAACCTCTGGTGACTTATATTATTTGAAACTGGGGGCTTTTGTGCATGAGTGGAACATACATTATTTCTTTAATAACACAGAAATAATTTAAATTATCCCTGATTCTCCTTTTACCTGATCTGCTTGATTTAATTTTCCCAGCCTGTTTCCCTGCCATTCTGGCGTGGTCTCAGAGACTCATGAATTATTTTGGCTTCAGGGAGGAATCAGACTGCCATTGGTAAGAAATACAGACCCACTATCTTTTGAATTTATGTATTTAAGCCCCCACATACATGCTTTGTAGCTCAGGCTGATAAATGTCAGAAATTTAATGTACACTAAAATGAGGCATTTTAAAAGCCATGAAAAAAAGAATTATGTGTTGAAATTAAAGGGCTCCTCAGATCAAACTTGAGGCACTAAGAGGGAAGTTTAGCTATAGTTTTGAACGGCTTATAGGATGTGGTAAAGCATTTTATATTTTCGGAAGGAAATGTGCATAAGAGCATATCTGGTTTCTGAGAGAGTTTGAGATTTTCCAGGAGTGAAATTGCATAAGCACAATTAAAGTCGAGAGATGGACAGCTATACTGGAGACCACAGTAAATGCTATTTTGAGGCAACAGCCAATGTCAAAGAGTTTATAAGCATCACTTGTCAGAAATAATGATAAGGAAACATCTAAATTGCTATGGAAAACTCCCAGTACTCTTCAGATTTCATCTCATTTCAGTTTCTCAACCTGGATCTGATTCAAGACCTTCAAAGTTTCTGTGTCTGGATTTCAAAGGAAATGAGCTGGGACCTGGGACAGACAGCAAGATCTAGAGCCAGCCTTCTGAAGTGCTGAGCTCCCATGAATCCATGTGAAATGAGCTTCCACAGAGCCAGCCCCCACCCCAGTCATCTTCTCCCCCTGCTCATGTTTTTAATGGGAGTTTAGGAGTCAAAGCTTTGAGTTCTCTGCTTATTTTTACCCTCATGTTCTTGCTTATTGATTTACTCAGAACAGGTCAAATCTCATCTTGTCTATTTCCTTTACGGGTTAGACAGAACTGAGCTTGCAGTCTCTAGGCAAGAGCAAGCTGGAAGAAAGGACAGAGCCCAGGGGAGCAGAGCCTGGTTTTCCTGATACTGCCAGGGCATGGACCAACGACTGGTGCCATTGCTCTAACTGTGTTAGTTGTTGCCTCCCCACAGTCCCAGATCCTTTCTCAGCAGCAGGAACAGCCAGCCTGCTTCCAAGCTTGGAAGGGTAGAAAGCAAGCAATAGGGCCGTGACTAGTTTTGCTAGGCCAAGCATCTGGCTGCCCTGGAAAATTCATTGTTTTGTTTGTGCTTGATCTTGTTCTCTTTGGACCCAAGAAGTGAATGAAGTACAGAACTTGGCCTTTATTGCCCCAGTTGCTCAGCTGTGGATCAGCATTACCTAGTGTAAATCTTCAGCCCAGTTCCTGTGCCACAACAACTCAGCTAGGACCAGGGTGTTCCTAACGCCTCAGATTCAGATCAAACACCAAAAATCACTAGTTAGAAACACTGAAAAGCTGTACTTTTTGTTTGTTTGTTTTGTTCCTTGGGTATTTCAATAAGAACCCTAGAAAATGCCTCACACGGCCATGTAAGCCAGATTGTTGTGTATCTCAAAAGCGTTTTTAGAAAGACAGCACTAGACAGCCATTGCAGTGGGGCTATTTTCATTGAAAATAATCCCCTCTTTTTGAGAAGAAATCTGAGTGTTGCCTAGAAAAGGAAACTGGGAGAAAATTGCCAGCCTTTGCCTGTCTCTTCTTCTTCTTTTTTTTTTTTTAATTTCCCATTTTTAGGGAGTGACAATTTAGCAAATTTCTTTGCATAATTCTTTGCAAACAGACTTCAGTTTTAATTTTCTTGCACCAACGATGGAAAGCAGCAGATGGATGGAGGGGACTGCAGGCGCCTGGTGATCATCGTGTGAACCACCAGAGGTCAGGCTGAAACCCCTGATGGTTTGTCACACTGAGCAGTTTAACTCGGACCCACTTCTGTCATTGCTATACAAAGTGCAAAGGCTGACAGGACATTAGTACATTCCTTTTGTTGCTGGGAGACTGCAGTCTTCGAAAGTATTTTCTAGATCAGTGTTATACACGATGGCCTCTCGTTTTGCCTCATGCTTTGTGGGAGCTGGTGCAAGTGTCATAAGTGGTTTGAAGGCTTTCCTGATAATTAACCTGGAATTACCCTTTTTTTTTTTACATCCCGTCACTCATGTCATACTACTCTTGGGACATCTCAGTTATGAGCATACCAAATAGTATATTTTTGAAGGGTTAGAGTATGCCTTGCACAAAGTAACTTGGATGAGTTACATGTGGCTTACATGTGGACAAAGTGGCCTAATTTCACAACACTAATGACCCTTCTTAAACAGGTAACTTTCAGGGTGAGCATGTGGAGAGGTTGGGAGCTTGCTCCTATAGCAACTGTGAATGCCTAGATGATGAAGTGAGAAATGCAGCCCCCAACAGTGCAAGCAATAAAGGATTATAAATTCTGAGCCTCTTCAAACAAACTCACTTCTCCCTCAGCTTTCTACTCTTCTCTGGGCTGTGTGATGGAAATGGCAGTATTGCTGTTGCATAGAACCAGGAGCCATCCCACTCGTAGCACACAGACTGGGTCTAGCCTACAGGACAATTTGTACCTTGCACTGGGATAGGTGAGGTGGAACAGTGTAGGAAGTCTTAACAGCTACTGAATATCTTTTAATTCCTTTGACTTCTGGTTGTTTTGGACCATTAGACACTTCCATGTTGTCATGGAAGGAGGAAGTTGCCACAACAGGAATCTGGCCAATATAACAGAAAAAGCTGGCCAATATACTGAGTGACCTCAGCACCTCTGTCTTGTGGGAGCACCACCATGTTTTACCATAGCCGGGATGCTGAGCAGAGGGAGGTGAGGGGGTGAAACTTGTGCTAGGTGGGTCAAAACCCATTCTGTGAGAACAGTGGACAAAGGGACACAACAGATGTAGCACAGGAAATAAAACCTACAGCAGCAAAACTCAGAGGCTTGTCCACTACTGAGGTTAGAGTTTAAGCAGCAAACTGCTGCCTGTGACTGTGGTCATAAGCTTGGATCATGTGCTCTGAGTTCATATACATAAGATGAATAGAGGAAAACTGGCAGCAGGACAGACTTTCTTCTGCCATATTAGGTCAGCATGTTTCATACTTGACTACAAGAGGTGCCTGAGCAGTAATAGGATAGTTCATACACTCAGCCTGCTTGGTCTTCAGTTGCCCAGATGACTGGTAGTTAAAAGTAGTGCCACTGAGAGCTGCTTGTAACTGTCCTGGATGAGCTCAGCTCTGGTATTAATCTATAGAATTACATCACATGGTCCGCAAAATAGCATTTAATGACTGCAGTGGATGAGAGCCAGTAATTTGGAGGTGATTTGTTTGATACTCCTTCTATCAGTCATGGATCTTGGGCATAGTAATCTAAAGTGGTAGTGCGGGCTATGCCAATACGTTAGTTGTCTCATCTTGTGTCTTGGTGTCAGCCAGAAGGCAGTAGGACTGCTAATGACTAAATTCTGACTTTCTCAGTACCACACTTACAAAGAACCATAATACCTAACCTTCAAATGCTCCCTATACAAGCTAGACCACAGAAACCAGCCGGAGTTCCAGCTACTCTGTGTTTTCATGAGACCACCTCATTAGCCTTGTGACTTGTTAAACGCAGTCCTGTCAAACTTTGTTCTCCAGCCTGCCATTATTTAGATACTAAATAAACCAACTCCCACTAGCTCCCTTGGGGATCATTAAATCTCTCTGCATTTATGCTGTGGCAGCAAAAGTTTAAGCTTGGATTGTAATCATAAAGAAATTAACTTGCTGATTAAAAATGGTCCTTTAAGCAACATGCATTTGAATAATCCATCATAAAAACAAACGAGTCTATAGCAGTGCTCTTGATTTGATAATCTTTTTTCTACTTTAAATTTACATCAGTTGTACTTTTTTTTTTTCTCTCAGTCTGTAGCCCATAGAAAAATACAATGAATTACTAAAAAGAAAGCAATAGTTTGAACTGCAATAGCCATGGTGTGGAATATATATTTTAGATCTGTTAGTACAAGATAGTCATGAACCTGAATTTTTTGCTAAGATACCCTACAGGCAATTCCAGCAACATTAATTGTGTTACAGAAAAGCTTAGTTAATGCAGAAAATTTGATTTCTCGTATTTCCAAAGTGTTTTGAAAATAAAAGACCTGTATATGCCAGGGCTGATCCAGTTCTCCTTGAAATCTGTAGCTAAGGTCCTGTTTAATTCAACAAGAGCTACTGGATCAGGTCTGATGAGTGCAGCAGAGATGTGTTTACAAGTAAACATTTGAGAATAAAGACGGTTCGGTCATTTTAAATATTGCATACCTCTCTCTATCTGTAAGTGCAAAGCAGACAATTAGCAGTTCACAATAGGTGCCTACTTTTAGACAAGTTCCTCAGTTTGTAGCTGTACTAGTTGCATGATGAACACAAAAAGTTAAGAGAAAATTTATATGGCTGGAGAAAGATGCAAAAGGACACCTCTAACTTATATGAAAATATGTGACACTGTTCCTGAAACTGAAGAAAAGCAAATTTAACTATCTTTGCTTCATCATTTTCCCCCATTACAGTTCCACTTTCCTAGATGTTTGTACAGTCCACAATAATTCACATCTTTGCTGCCCAGCCCATGCCACAAACCCTCCATGTCTCTAATTTTTAAAAAATCAGCCTTTGTCAGTACTGGTCTCCACATTAGCAACCTGATAATTCCTCACCTTTTGGTCCAGGTAAAATTGTGTGTGTTGAGCAGACATCTGTTGTAGGTCGATTGTCAACATCAAAACCAAAAATCTGAACCTGGAAGATAAAAAGCACTACAAGGGTCCCATATTTTCTTAGCTGTTGTTCTTTCTTGCTGCTCATCCTTGCAGCTTCTCAGGAAATGCCTTTCGTTGTTACTGTCTTAAGAAATGCAGCTGACTCAAAAATAAATGCTTCACTAACTGGAGCAGTGGAAAGATTGGGAGCTACATGCAAGAACAGCTAAATAAAGTGAAGAAAGAAGTTTGACGATGCTGTAGTTATTTCTGTCCTGCACATTATCCAGGATATTTATTTAACACTGACAGCTGTTTATTCCAATTTATCTCTTATCTGTGAGATGTTTAGCTACATTTGCTGTGGAAAATTTCTTCAACATTTGGGAATATCTCTTTTGTAATATTTTTTCCTTTCAGCACTGATTTTTTTTATGCTCAGCTTTTCACTTACTCAAGAGACAAAAGATTTTGGTATGGTATCCAAGTGTGTACTAATTAGTTATAGGATACTTTTGTCAGGTTGTGGGCTGAAAGTAATGCAAACTCCATATAACATATAGAGATACTTTTCCACAAAAGCTTTCCTCCAAGGGGACTGTCAGTGACCACGGACGAGCTGCCAGTTCTCTGTGGGTGGAAGTCACTGGTGCTATTTTACACCCTTTGGGTGCCGTGTACCCACAGTCCTCAGAGCGGCAAATGAAAAGTTTATGTGATCTATGGGTATTTTAGCCCCAAACCCACAAGTGATGGTTTTATGCTTACAGATAACTTCACAATGCTTGCTCCAAGCCCAGATTACGTTGGTAGACACAGTACAGAAAGGGCACACTTCAGAACTGAAGACACAGAACAAGATGAGCTTGAATGACTGCAGCACCTCCTCCCATAATGCTTTTTCCATGCACTGGGAAAGGCCATCTATTGGGACAGTGGTGTAGCATATGTCCCAGGAGAATAGTATGTTTGGGTTGTCCAGGAAGCTGCAGCTGGTTCAAATCTGCATGAGGCAGCTACCAGGTTTTCAGTTGGCTGCTGAGACTTTGAAAATAGGTGTAGGAGACCTCTTGGATGGAGGAACAAGTAGTGTGCGTCCTTCCTTTTGAAAGGAGTTGTGACAGATATCTCTCTATGTGCACTCCCTTCCTAGAAAAAACTCTAGCTTTCTCTTAAGGAGAGCACAGTAACCAGGGACAGAAGACTGACATAGCCTGGCAGAAAAGAAAGGGGAGATGAGTATTTGTAATATTTCCAGTAATTTTGTTAACTTCTGGTTTCTCCCACAGTGAAGGACATAGCTACTCTAAAAGCCAAACTATGGTTTTGAACTATGTAGTGTATGAGAGCATGTTTGCTCTCCATTCTAGGCAAAAAACGTATTCCCTATGATAATAGCTTATCAGAGGTTTTCCTCATTATTTAAGAGAGTATTAATTCCCTAGTCCTACAATGTTTCAGCCTTTGGGCAGACAGAATAAGTAGCACTACTGATGTAAAAGCAAATACCTTTCTGTAAAGGTTGAAGGAAGGCTTCAATTTCAGGCTTTCATCTGGGATAAAATATTGGCCTAAGTCCCAAGAGGCATCAAGACACTCCTCTCCCTCTTTCTTTCTAGACTGGTCACAGACTGTCCGCCTTTTCAAAACACTTTTCTTTTTTGTTAAAATGTATACAGTACTTCAGAAATAAATAGTGGTCTCTGTCCTAAGGAATGTCATCTAACTAACCCCCTCAAATGTGGCCTTGATAATGGGTACACACAGCTAGAGGGGGAGGAAAGAGAAAGACAGGATTATAGTTGAGTAGAGTCATACCAGGAAAAACTTGTTCCTCTGTGATTTGCGTTGGGCACTGTGCCTCTGACTTGTACACTGTAAATCTGTTTTATTTATCTTTTTCTTCACTTTCCATTTTGTGAGCAGAAGGTCAATGTAAGAGCAAGAATAGAGAGCGTAGGAGTGGGAAGCTAGTGTACTTAGCTTTGGAGGAGGCATTTTGGGAACTGTTGCCAAACTGACATGAATGATGCTATCTGTTACACAGTACTGAGAGACTTACAGTGACTTCTTTGTTATTTATCAGGGATAAAGAGGGGTAAGTGTAAGTGAGAGAGGAAACCATTTGTTTAGCCACTTCAGTCACTGTCTGGGACTAAGCAGGGAACATTTTTCTAATAGCGCTGTGATCATTTACAAATGTTCTCATTCCACATTAGAAAATAAATCAAGACCCTACTTCCCCCCTCCATGACAACCAGAAACCTCCTGAACACGCAGTGAGAAATTAAGTTTAATGTATCTAAAAACTTGGTAACGGAGACACTTAAAATGTAGGAGCTCCAGATTCAGATTATTTCTCTGCCTAATTCAAACCAATGTTTGCACTAGAGCCTTAAGGTTATATTCCCTTATTACAAGGCTGTATGCTAATCAGTTAGGTCTTACTGTATGTTGGACCAGAAACACTGTCCTGGAGCTAGAAAACCTCCCTTAGCAGGCAATCCATCAAAATTGATATACTAGCATGAAAAGCTTGATTTTTGGCAAATCAGTATTTATCAAACCAGTTTCACTGAAAAATCTTCAAGCAGCTTCATTGCTGATGGAGATTTAATGAGGCAAAGTGCCTACTGTGCATGTTAATTCTCATTGAATCAGGCTTAAAGAAATGTCTGTAGGCAAGAGAGAAAAACAAACAGCGTTGTCCAGACATAAAAGACAAAGCAAACGCTTCGAGGGACATGAATGTTTTACAAGAAAACTCTAAGACGCAAAAGAATATCTTGAAAGATTCTGTTCTTTGAGATGAGCACTGGTCAGGTAATCTTTGGAGTCCAAGTAACTTCCTTCAAAATTTGTAATTTCTTCATTTGCTTATTCTTCAGCTGTTAGTAGTTAAGTGTCAACAGACTATAAGGAATACAGATAACATCCTGAAATAGTGTTCATAAAAAAACAATTTTAATAATTTATAAGAGTCCCAGATCCTGTGGTTGGACTCTAGGTTAATACATCCTGCTGATTCAGCCATCAGTTTTGAGAGTCTGATGGCATCCTTTCTAACCCAAACTGAGTATTAAGGAGAACTTTCCTCTTCTGTACCTTACTGTACTGAATAAATCTGGGAACATCTGAAAGAAAAAAAAAAATTAGAGTATTTCTCCACTTTGGGATGGTTTCAGTTCTCCTGGTATCAGAGGTCATGATCATTTGAGATATTTCAGTCTGCCATACTGTATACATCAATTGCAGTGGCAAAGCTTAGAGAAAATGGAAAAGGAAGAGCAGTAACACATGATTTGCAAAGTGTAGGGAGGAAAGTAATCCTAGGGCTATTTTGTAAAACCTCATTTTTGGTTTTGACACCCTTCAATGACTACTTGAGCCTGTAAAACACAGTCTTCACCAGTTGTTGTTCCTCTGAGTAAGATATAAACAATTACTAGATCTTAATATGCCTGAAAATAACTGGAAAAAAAAAAATTAAGGACAAAATTCTCCAAAATCTCCTTGCTTATATGTTTAGTAAACAGAGCTTCTAGGACTCTAATGGTTGTAGATAATTCTTGTTGGATGTTTGAAAGTCTTTATCAACCTCAGCAGTATAGAAATATATGTCCCCCTGTCAACTATAATCTCCCTGGTTTCCTGCTGATGAGTTTTACTCTCTGTTGAGTTGACCGTCTTGAGGGATAGGTGTGAGCTTTTCCTGGTCTGACACAGGCATGGTGCTCTGGGGGATCCTTAGATCTGCGTTAGAGCTTACAGCCCCTTCTTGGGATGTTCCTCCCTCTCCTTTCACATTCCTATCCCCCTCAGCTTTTAGCCCCTAAACAAAAACGCTGACCCAGATTCCAGCTGTAAGTGTCTGCTGTGAGGTAGGAGGGATTTGGAGACAGCTGTTGTCCAGGGAGAAGAATAGCTGGTCAGCACTGAAATTTCAGAGGGAGCTTGGGTTGCAAACCACAGATTCAGAGAGCTACTGGATGCTGTATGAGGTGCAGTACTGAACCCTGTACTCCCTTTTTTAAATAGACCTCAGTTGTGTGTGACTTCTGCTCACGCAGGTAGCACGGCATTATAACTTTGCACTTCTAACTTTTGCACTTAGCAAAAATGTCCTGGCTTACAGGGAATGTGTTATATGCACTTTTATTGTGAACACTAGGATTCAGAATACTTCTCTATCAGTTAGGATGCAGGTTTTCAGTTCTGTCGAAGACACCTTTGACTTACGGTGCCAGCCTTCCAGAGAGGCCTAAGAGATACCTATTGCTATTGTTTTCCAGGCAGTCACTCAGAGAAGCTGTCCAAAAATATAAGTCATTCACATATGCATTCAGAGATGTGATAGAAAGTGAAATACTCAGTGTGGTTTGTAATTGTGTTTATATAAGTGCAGCCTCTTCCTGTGTCAGAACAGATTTTTGCAAACAAGAGGGCAATGATTCAGTTCCAGGGGAAGACTGACAAAATAAACCCCAGCTTCTACTGACCTGATGCAGTGCCGAACAGTGTCCTACCCTGGGAAAATATTTCCTGCTTCATTTTCATAAATATTTATGTAATTCCTTCTGGGAAACATGTCTTCTTCAGAAAACTGAACATGCTGCTCCCTGACATAAATTTAACTATTTGTTTACACATGAGAGATTATGGGCATCTACCCAGCCTTAGATTTTTACATTCTTATCTCAGGCATTTCTGTCTTTTAAAGTTGTTCTTCAGTCTCCTCCTAGAAATTGAATGTCTTGAGTCATGGAGCTTAGTTCTGGCTCTGGAATTTGAACATCCCTGATGCTCTTTGGAGAGTTGTTATTTTGGGCTGCAGAAATAAGAACCAAATTTAATGTTCTGTCTGGAATCACAGTTCTGTCCTGCATAGTTATGCGCTTCCCATTCTGGTTTGAGGCTCCTTTCTAAAAAAAATAATCATGTAAGCAATGAAACAGAGGATTGCATGGCTAATGAAAGTATTTCTTTTTAGAAACAGACCTGTACACATGGATGTGAACTGAAATAGCACTTGTGTGCAGTCTTTTGTGTTTGCTTTCTAAATTTATAATACAGACTAGTGGCAAAGTTGTGCACAAGTTTCCCCAAGAGAACAGGTATAATCCCCCCTATGACAAACTGAAAAAGGTTGATTCTGCTCTCTTTAACATTTTTTAAGAGAACAGAAAAACACTGACATTGAAGCACAGACTAACAGAACCTTGTACAAAGCCTTGTATTAGAGCAAAGTTGAGCTTTGCTTTCCGACATGATCACAACTCTTCCATGAAGTGGTGAACTGTGTGGGGTGCTCTGGAAAAAGCCATGTGATGGGTAGCATGGTAGAAATAGTCACAGGAGATGGCAGATGTTAAGATTGTGTCCAGGATAAAACACATAAATGA